ACCCTGAGTTCCCCCAGTGGGTGAACAGGAAACAGGGAACATCACTTCTCCCGGAGCTACTGAAGAAAGAATCTACATACAAAAATGAATATTCTACCTAAATTTCTCTTTATCCTCTGTTGCCTCCCTGTATACACCCTCCTAACTTATTAAACTGAAATTAATAGCTCTTATACAAGTCTTCTGTGTGATTCTGGTTAGCGCCCTCCAGTCACATTTAAGAGAATCCAAATTATTGTAAGCAAAGCAGCAAGGATCTCCACCCTTTCCTAATGCTCAACAGCACTCTGATATGTTGCCCTTGCTAGTGCACTGATAATTAAGATAATAAATGAAAATTAAGAAACTAGAGCAGATGCTGCTGGACTGCCAGAGCTCCCAGGATGTCCCACTCTGTCTCTTTCCCTGGCACTTTGTTACTGAAGGGCTCTGCTTGCCTCAAGTTCGTTACAAATTGGGCCACAGCCCTCAAGAACAGTCCCAGTGCTGACTGCACCTTGCAATTATGAGAGATTTTTTCATGGCTTGCAGGTTGTTTTATCCAAAAAGGTAAATATCAACTTTATCAGTCACTAGTTTGTGCTGGATAAAGGGTCTTTTCTCTAATGTCTGCTAGTGCTGTAATAAAGAAAAATAGGACGTGGATAAATGCTCCCTGGGACTGTCCAGCAGTCAGGCAGTTGAAGGAAGAGAGACCCATGCATTGAAATAGCTTTCAGGAGGCAAACTGCTCCATATTTCATTGTATTTATTTGCTGAAATGTATTAAATTAGCCCATAATCCCTTTGCTTTTAATGGCTGCAAAGATCATGCCTGCTCTGAGTGCACGAGTTCACAGAAAAAGAGACAAAAGGGCTTGTGCCCAGAACAGCCCAAGGATATGTGGTCATTTTGAAAGAGTAGCCAAAGACAGGCGAGCTTGTCACCCTTGAGAGCAAGGAGACACATTCAGACCCTCCTGGAGCATGCAGCCAGGAATGACTGTGTAAGAGCCAGTGATACGGCTGCCCTCGATTCACTCCTTCCCCTTTTACGCACGTCTCCTCGTATTTTATAACTCCAGCCCTCGCTCTAATGTGTTATGTCTATGCTGTATTGTCTGGTCTTGTATTGTCTGCAGCTTTGACAAGTTGTAAAATCGTATAATTGCGGAGTTCTTGACGAGATCCTGAAAAGCCTGCAGGATTTGGGAACTTGCACAAAAATATATGGCTCTGTATGCTATGTTTTGCACACACACACAAAAAAATCAGTTAAAAAGATCCCCCCAAGTAGGCTAGCACATATGTTCTGCAAAGGCAGAGAGATGGATCTTGCTTGTCATTTTAGAACTAATGGTCTCTCTCTGGGCACTGTGATGGTGAGCAGTGAACAGCAGCATAAACATGCAGCAGAGCAGTGGCCCTATGCATGGATAGAGTCATATCTGGCAGCAGCAAAAGCAAGAAAAGTTTAAAAAGGGAAAGAGAAGGCAAGAAGAATATATATGTGCCTGGAAGCTGTGGGGTTAGTGCCAATTGGAGGCCTGAGTCTAAAGACAACAGCTCTGGAGTAAGTAAAAACCAAGAAGAGAAGCTGAGAGCTTGAAAACAAAGTCACAGGGGACAGAAGTTTTTGGAAATACAGAGGAGTCTGGAAGCTGTAAGAGGGAAGAAGGGGAAGATTGAGAGAGTGTGATGGCCCACACAACAGCGAGGATAACACACAAAGCCCTCGATGTAAAAATAGATGACTTTGTGGAACAGAAACAGAGTTGACGGTTTAGATGTGAGATGAAGTCCGGCCAAAGTGCACAGTCAAGGAATTTATTGGAGATTTTGCCAACCCAAAGGATTATAAATCTGAGATTGAAAAGAAAAATCTTTTTACATTTTTAAAGTCACATATATAGCAAGAAAACCAACCACGGAAATGTCTTTTAGAATGGCAGTTTCTCAGCTATCTTATCAGCAAAAGCTCTCAAACATCTGAATTCCTTATGGCCCACCATCTGAATTGAAAAGATATTTTATCTGAAAATGAAATGATTTTCTAGACGACTCACCACTATCTCATGGACCTTCAGTTTGCAAGTTAAATGATATTACAAGCTTGAGTGCCACATGAATAAGACTCAAGGAAGAGGTGGAGGAAGAAGCAGGACAGTGGCCAGGAACAGAGAGACAGTGACTGTGGCCTGCCAGGAGGGTGGAGGAAAATCTGGCACTAAAAACCTGGGGAGATGGCAGATGGAGACAGGATAGGAGGACTTTTTGTGCTGAGAGACCAGGCTGACACATGTAAACTTTGGACCAGGAACAAGGGTTGGGAGAAGTTGAGACTGGACTAGATACAGGTAGGACGTGAGTCTAAATATCCAGCAAAGTCTTATGCTGTCCACTGGCAAAGTGTCTTCTGGAGACTGGCCTAGGTAGAGGTTAACCATCTACTGATTCTGCTATCAGTTGCTGTCTTATCTCAAGTAGTGCAAGATGGCAAACTTTATGGAGAAATTCCATTTCTGGTAATGAAACACTGAGTCAGTAACTGCACATCTTTGTTATTCTGCTAGTCACATTCCTTCAGTATGTTCTTTGGGATATTTTTACTGAAGTTATCTTTATCAAAACAGGTTTTCAGAGAGATCCAGGGAAGTTTTCCAAGTGTTCCTCCTCAGATCTCAAAGCATCAGGATGCTTGTGTTAGCATTACAGTGAGACTGTTAGGTCCACATTAGACTAGGAATAACAGCCCAGAGAGGGCACCAGTTGAGAGACATCTCTAGCACTCAGTATATCTTCAGCATGACTGTAGAGTCTGGCTCATGCTCTGTACCTGCCACAGATCTTCTCCTTTCCAGATCTGCGTTATTACTGAAGTTCCAGGTGGAGCAGTTACCAAAAACTACAGCTGGAGAAAGCAAAGATAAAACTATCACAGACAAAAATGCCAGGTATGCTACAGGCAAGGCTCATGAACTTATTTTGGGTAAATTAGAAAACAGCACTCTCTATTCTACAGACAACATTCAGTAAGATCTGGCACTGGGAAATAAGAAGTCTACCACTCTCCAGCAGCACAGTGAAGAAATGACTAGTGAGCATATACAACATGGATTGCTATTAGATTTACAAATCACTTCAGATAGATAAACTGACTGGGAAAGGTCACAGCACAACATAGTTCAATGTCCTCATGCTCCTACTGGTTGTTTGAATGGCTGCTCTGCAGAAGGTGTAACAGCATAGCAGGGTTATTGCAGCTGCAACTGTCTATTGCTACGAGCCAGGTAAAGTCTGTAGCAACTGGTAATAGCTTTTATTAGAAGAAATGACATGGTGAAGAGAAAAAAAAAAAAACGAGACAAGATAAGGTGCCAACAGGAGTTTTTGTTTGGTTGTTATTTTTTCTTAATATGCTTCTTACAGATGTAAATTTGTGACTCTCAAAGAATCCATTAGGAATTAGGCACCCAGGTCTGAGATTTATCTTTCTTACAGCTTTTTTAAAGGTATTTTCCAAAAGCAATTGCATAAATAAAAAATGCATTATGACTTCTAAATAAGAAAACAAAACTCAGTTCACTAAACAACAAACAAATGCCATGGAAATAAATAAATCTTTACACAACTTCTAAAAGCACAAATATTGGGAATTAAAATCCTAGAATTAATGTTGCTATTCAATCAGGACCAATCTAAGGACTGTTGTCAGCTGAAGCCATAAATTCACGGCAGCATAAGTTTACTAGATATGATGGAAAGCCTACTGGAACGTCCTGGCTAGACAACTCACGGCCATTTGTTCTGATTGAATTTAAATTTTTCCTGGTTTTTCTGTCCATAAATCAACTGAATCAACTGTAAAGCTGGACTACTGCATTAGGAATATAACAGCTGATGTAAGGACCTGTGTTACTTCTAGCAGGACAGAACAGAGGGTGAAATACTGTTTGAATTAAATTAACCAGATTACCTACAAAACAAAACAAAACAAAAAAACATGTTTGAAAAGACAAATGCTTGGGTTGAATCTTACTGAGGGAGAAAGATGGTATCATGCAAGAAAACTTATTAGCCAAATCCATAACAAGACCAAGAATTCAGGTTGATACTCAACAGCACAGCTGAAGAGTTATGCAGGCGTATTGGCGTATATACGTATTTATTTGGAATACGTATTGAATCAACACAACATAGGCTTTGCCTGCAAAAGAATGTGGCAATGATTTCACTAGGATTGCTTCTTTAAATCAGTTTCATTAAACATGAAGCAAATCCACATGTGGACATAGTTAAATTGATTTACAACCAGCTTATGTTGATTTAGCTTAATTCAAAGGGTGGAATTTTATATGGCAGCTATAAATTGATTTGCATGTGTCTACAGGATACAGTAGTGGTTCACTTAAATAGACTTAAAACCAGACTTTCGTTAAGCTACTTTTACAACACTTTAAATAGCAGGTTTAGGTATTCTATAAACAAGTTTAGGTTAAATAGCAGGTTTATTTAGGTTTAATTTAGGTTAAATAGCAGGTTTAGGTTAAATAAAAATGCACACATGTACACACACACATGTACACATAAACACACACATACGTACACACTGTAGATGACACTTTTCAAAGAACAGCAGATTCAAATCAGTCTGAGTTCAATGTGATGGAACAGATCTGAGCTTGTCTGTATAAATTTGATGTTTACTTAATTTTTTTTTCTTTATTAAACTATGGTCATTGCATTATAAACAAACCCTTTAAGAAGCATTTAGTGTCTTCCATTGAACCTTTCTTTTCTTGATTTACTTATGTCATACATAAGTAGGATGTCTCCCAATCCCTCCAATTGTCACCCTCGAGAGCAAGGAGACACATTCAGACCTTTGTCTACACCTGTGAAAAACACATAGCAACACAGATCATCTTAGCCTCTGAAGGGCACTTAAAATACACAAATTCGGATCAACAGAACGTTTCCTTATGGAGCAAAGAGAGAAGAGTTGATACAATACTGAATACCTTTTCTCATCTGTATGTTCAAGTCATGCTCCAGACTCAGGTTTTCAGGTGGGTTCCCAGTGGAAGATCTAGGCCATGCAGTGAGGAACAGGCCCTTGATTCTCATCTGCTTGTAATTCTGCAGCTGAGTTGCTCATTTCCATTTTACTTCATAGCTGAGTCTGTGGGGAAGGAGATAGCAAAGAGAATAGGTGAGTCTTATAATTTTCATTTTTGGTAAGTTGAGTTTTTTGTTACTTTTTTTTACTCAAAAGATTCTTTTAATGTGTTTGATGGACACAAAAAGAAAAAAAAAATGAATAATGCTCACTTGGGCTAAATAATCCCTTGCCTGCATATGTGAGAATGAGCTGCAGTGACTATTCATTGGAATGGTCTCATCAGCAGGAACTGGTAAGTATTCAATGCTTTGGAAAATTAGGCTATTTATTTCAGGTCCTAAATGTGCACTTGGGAACTTCACTTCAAGCGTGCATTTCTCAGTGCCAATACTGCTAGACTCTATGATACAAAATCCCTGAGCAGAGATCCAAAGGAAATCTCAATGTTTTATGCCTCTGAAGCCAGTGGATGCTTTCAAGTTTCAGTGGGACCAGGAGTTCACTCTCTATCTTCTCTATATTTAGCTTCATGCTCAGCATGCCGTCAGCAGCTAATCAGTACACAAGGGACTAATATATTTGGTGAGAGCAGGACTGTCGTGGTAGTGATTTCCTCGTTTATCCCCTTTGATAACAGCAAATTCTTTGTCATCACCCTGCCTTAATCAATGAAGAAAAGGCCACAAATCAGCAGTCGTTCTGTGGGTTAAAATAGTGTTTTGGTGGCGTACATCAGGTCTCAGTTCAGAAATGACTGATGGGAGATTTTACCGAGGAAGCGAGGAATGTGAGTGCTCTAGGAAATACTCTATTGGATTCACCTCCCTGGGAATTTTTATATGCCACATCTCCTGCCTTTTTGCACAATGTGCTGCATGTCAGGAGGCAAGACATTTTTATGAGCCCCAAGGATCAGTCCTCTTTCACAGTCATGACTAAATGGTACCTCAGAAGGGGTAGATCTCTGTTTGAAGCGAAGAAATTCCTCACTTGCAAAAGTGGAATTATAACAAGGTGTTCTCCAGAGCCGCCTTCCAGCACATTTCTGGAAACGACTCCTTATCTCGATCCCAGTCCCTGGATGCACCTCCGAGGCTGGTGCCTTGATAGACGGCAAGCAGAGAGAAGCCTTGAGCTGCCAGCCAAGGCAGAGAGAGAGTGATGCTCCCTTCTGTGCCTCGGATGGCCTCGGGGCTACGCCAGCCTTGACATCCAGGCTGCAAAGAACAACATACCTCTTGTCTACGCCGAGGGGAAACAAAGTGTGCCATTGGTACGTGAATGGTGTGACAAGATGCATAGGGTTTCCTATAAAGCTAAGGAAGGAAATTCAGGATAATTCGGTGGAAAGAATGATGGATTGAGCTCCAGAAAACTCTTGGATAAAGGCAGAGGAAGAAGAGGAGTGCCAGCGAGACAGGAGGATGCTGATTTTTTGAGAATATTCTAGTGCTTGGTAAAGCACATACTCAGAAAGACTGAAATTCTGCTTCCATTGAAGTCAGTGGAGTCCAGTGAAGTCACTTCCATTAATTAAGATGAAAATTACCATCTAATACCTTGCCATTGCACACTATGCCAGCCAATTTTACACTCTGCTGTAATCATTATTAAAATCTGATTGACCCTGGAAATGCTTTCTTCTCTTTTGTTATGATTTCCAGAGATGTCACAGTTGCACCTCCTACAAGAGCTCACACAATAACCCTTACCGGATGCTGGGAGGACAAATTTGCTTGAAAATGAAAACACTCAAAAGTTTCTACCAAAATATGTCAGAACTTTTTTCAGACTTTGGCTGACTTTTAAGATGTGGGTAAATACAAACACAATATAAACAAATCAACAGAACTGTGAGTTTAGAGTGGTCATTTTTATCTGTGCCTGCAAATGGCTATGGTACCAAAAAATATTTTAAAATTCTAGAAAAGTCAACGAAGAGAAGGAAATATACTGCCAGTAAACATATATATATATATCATATATATTTACATATACTCCTATTTGTTTTAAGAATTCAAAAATACCAAACAAGTTGCAGAATCACTGTTTTAAAGGGTTTGATATTGCTGAACTTGCTGAATTAACATGATGTCATAACTGTGCTTGCCTGTTCACAGAGCATGAGGATTAGGGATATCTTCACAAAATATTTATAAGAAAAACAAACAAACAAAGCAATGAACCAAAAGAATTTGAACTTGGATGCAGCTGTAGGTATCCCTGTTGCCTTCCCGGGCTGAAATCACAGAACATTTCATAGACTGGGGGCTATTGGAGAATGGCTCCTCTGTGCCCACTGGGATTTTGCACTGGTTCCCTAAGGAAAAGACATTTGTTTACTCGCAGTCTTTGTGTGCTTGTGCGTGTATCTTGTCACCTGCTCTTTCTGCACGATCTCGCTTCAGCCGAAGCTGCCTGCTAATTAATTTGCTACCAATTTTGTAGGCGCCCGCAGGCAAGAGGAGCAAGACAAAACAAGTAGCTTCGCAAAGGGGAGAAGCCTCAGTGTGAATTTACCTCTTTTGACATCAGAGAAGCCGTCGAGGAAACACACATCCTAAATGGCACTGTCCTCAGACTTCATCACCCCTGCCAGACACCGACCCGCAAACACGCAGCTCTCCTTACCTCTGGCACTCATGGAACGACTTGTTCTGAGGCTGGATATACCAAATCAATTAGTGATCAGGTCTTTGGCTCCAGGGGAATTCAGGACTTTAACCCTCTAAGCAAAGGACGACCACTGTGCACCTCCCTCAGGGCCAGGGGATGATGCAGCCAAAGGCTTTGATCTGCTGTCTAATTGGGGCGGCAGAGCAGAGCACACAGCCCTGGGCTTCTAATGGCTTCAGTTCTCGCTGATTCACCCAGAGGCTGCCAGTGCCCAGATAAGCCTTGTTTTCCCTCAGGAAGCCAGCCTAAAAAATAACTAGTAATTTAGGGGAAAAATGTCAGGCTCAATTCTGTAAGCCAGAAGTTATTGCAGTTACTGGATAGATTTTATCCTGCCTTTAGAATTTGCATCATGTGAATACTTATGCTCATTTATTACAACTAAGACTTTAAATTCATAAAAAAAAACAATCCGTTCATCTCAGGCAGGACTTAGGGATTTAAGCAGCTAAGATGAACGGATATTAACTGAATAATTGCTTTTTTAGCATAGAGACAGCCTTTACATATGGAAAAAATGTTAAGTCACTGGAAAAAAAATCAGAAAACTATTATTTTAGGTGAGTTTAATTAAACTATGGGGTTTAGTGGAAGTGGCAACGAGAGCTTTCCCCGGCACCGCGCGCAGCCGGTGCTGGACCACGGGCAGCCCAAGTGTCGGTGGCGGCGCGATGCCCGTCCCCACCACGTTGCTAAGCAACTTCCCAGGGATGCTGATGGTCATTAGCTCTTTTAGGACTGGGTGCACGATGCTGCTGGCTTTGGCAGCAGGAAGAACGAGCGCGGACCCGCGTCCAGAATGCAGCGCGGTAAAGCTGCACGTGCCCATCTGCATTGGGATGTAAGCAATTGGGACTTGAACAGTTTCACTGTTCCTGTGAAAACAAAACCTGGTTTTGAGAAGGACTATCAACACTAAAGTGCACCTACTTGTTACAGAATGGCAGTATCCACATAGGGCAATGCTTTCAAACACTGTCTCTCTCTCTCTCTCTCTCTCTCTCTCTATATATATATATATTTCTCCATTCATACTTGAATCTGCAAAGCCTTTCAGGTGTACTGTTCAGGTTTTCCCCCCTGTGCAAAACCACTTTGTGCCAAGAGCTATATATTACCCAGAGTCTTTATTTGAAACTACTATACTTAGTTTTGCAGTAGTTTGAATGAAAGTGTCCTGGGGTCCTGAGAGCAAAAGAAGACAATGATGAGACCATAAAATTTACATTCTCTTCTTAAAAATAAAATCAGGTTGTTCCAGAGTTCAGCAGCAATTGCAATTCACTCTTGTGCTCCCCTTTTCTTGATTGCAAGGGCAAGTCACCTGTCCCCAAGCCAGGTTCCCCTAACGCCTTCCAGTTCCCTCAGCTCTGTGGGCGCTCAGACCTCTCTCTCGCGCGCCGCTATTCCCTGGAGATGAAGGCAGCTGGCACAAAACGAGGGAATAAATCAGCTCCACATCACTTTTCATTTCCTTAGGTGGTGAGGAAAGAAGGCAGGTTGAAGGCTCACCCTCATTTGGGAGCGCTTCTGATAGAAACCGGCAGATTTGTGTCTTTTGTACAAAGCGCCTGCAGCGCTTGATTGGCACATTTATTTCGCCCTGAAATGCGTAGGTGAAGGCAGTGATGGAAATGTTTGGGTACGTCCTAAATTCTGATTCATTTCCCTGAAGGTTTTGTGTAAACACATGCAACTGAATTATTTATGAATTTCTACCTTTTCCCCTACCACGACGAAACAACTTGTGAAAATGGGCACAAAACAAAAACAGTGCCAGATCTTTCATAAGAAAGAAAAAACATTTCCTCCGGTCTTCTAGTATTGTTCCTTAATAATTCTGAAAGCCAAAACTTTGTAGGATATCACAATGACTGAAAACTTGGAAGCAAATTTTAATGCTAGAACCCTATGTTTTTGTACTTTCAAAAAAAAATCTCCGAAAAACAACTTTTCTTCCTTCAGTAATTCCCCTTAATTGGGAAGCTACAGTTTTCTGTCGCTCAGGATGGAAAAGTTTTAATATACTTTACATATTAAATGTGGAAAGAATTTGATAATACACCTCAAAAAGCCAACTTGCATGCTTTATAGTGGTCAAACACAGCCACACTCTGTTCTGAAATTCAACATTCAATCATCAAGAACATTACAGAGCTCTTGTCTTTAGACTTTCCAGTCAGCTGCTGCAACAAGAATAATGCCTTTTTCCTGCAGCTTCGTTTTCCTGTCTATTGAGTCAAGTTTTATCACGGTACAATTTAATGAACTTTGTGAATTTGACTCATTATGTACATTTTATTGTTATACCATTCAAAAAAATGATATCAGGGAGAAAAGTTGCCCTAATCACGATGAAAATCATTTTAAAAACTATTTCACTGCATAAATGATTTTATATACCTTATATACCTTAGCTGATTTTTAACAGTACCTATGATTTATGGCACACCAATGAAGGCAAATAACCTGGCATATGCCAGGTGCATTTGCTGAGTGAGCTTCTATTTACTGTGCGAGCTTCTATTTACATAGGTTATATTTACACAGTGAGCTTATATTTAACTCGGTGGTTAAGTATGCTTAATGGTGGCCCTTTTCACCTGCTGAACTCTGCCAAAAAATGTCAACTATTGCTCACAGTGACCATATGGAGATTACACAGCAGCTACCTAGGGGTTGCACAGCTCTCACCTCATAGTCGCTCGCTGCCTGTAGCAACCCAGAGCAATGCTACCCGATGTTACCCAGCAATTGAGGGCATGGGCAGAGCAATTTCAACCCACCAGAGGACACAAGGAGAGAAAAAGCATTATCTCACGTTGGAGCCTGTAGAGTACGCTTGTACTGTCCTTATTGCCATGAACAGGGGGAAACACCAAAAAACATGCAGCCCTTAACTTGGATTAATCTAGTCAATCAAGACTAGATCAAGAAAGAACCATTTCAATCATCACCAACTATGAAAGCGAAATTAAGGCAGTACTTGTAAACACCAAGCCGACCTGGAGGTGTTCCCGACAAGCAACAGGTTGACAGAATTCCCATAGCCTTCAATTCCTTAGTTTCATGTTCTTTATTTGCCTAGTAAAAAGTTTTAGTTTTTTTTCAGCATCTTTGACAGTGAAATTTCATCATCAATTAGAAATAAATTGACCAAGAATGTGTAATTTCTCTTGTGGGAGTTTCAGTTATTTCAGTTACTGAAGAAGAAGAGTGAGTGGATATGTGGGAGTGCTAGGAAGCAGTTTCCTCTGAAGATGCAGTTTGAATATTCACTTTTTGTTTCCAGGCAGTAATATCAAAGACAAAAAATCCCTTAAGCTTTGCGCTGCAAACTCTTCATCCCAAGCTATGTTGAGCAAAATTGATTTTGAAGTTATTTTTTAAGCTATTATTAACATTCCTGTTTTCTAAAATATAATTCAAACAGATATGAGAAACTGTGCCATTGCCATATATCCATCTCCCCACCCACATGCTGTCTATCTAGGTATTATGCTATCTGCCTGAAGATTGAGTTAGTTTCCAGGTTGAATGACGTTCAGAAAACTTTCAACAAAATTGAATTTTATGAGCATGAAGCCATATTAGAGCTTGGGAAAGAAACCAGAATTGCACAGTTTCACAGGAAATCATGCAGTTTTGTAGGTTCAGTTGTGTTTTGCTTTGAATTTATAAATTTTCTCAACTTTCAAATTAAATCTAGGGGTGGGAACTTGTCTGAATTCAATAGGAAAGCAACCTTTCCATGAGCTGCTCCTCAGTCCCCTCACAGCTCAATGAACACTGCGTTACAGCTTGGGGTTTGACTTTACCTACAGGTAACAGAGAATATTGTATTACTGCAATTTTAAAACAACTTGTCTTATTTAAAGAAAACTTCTAGTAGCAAGGAAACTGCTATATTTAGTATTTTAAAGCTTGAACTTTGCTTTCAACTGTATTGTGTTATTCGTAGAACTATCCAGAGCATTTTATACAATCGAAACAGCTGATCTGTGCTGACCACAAGCTCTATGCTATAAACTGCCCTTCTTCAGCTCACACTTCAGCTCTTTGTTTCTGTTAAGAAAATTCTGCATGTAACTCCTCTGGGGATGTGAGGAGAGGACTGCTTAGCCTCCCAAAACTTGTAAACAAGAGATCACAAGGCATCAAGCAGTCCCTGAGGAGAGAAAAAAAAGATGTTACCGTGATCTTTGTCCCCATAATCTGCAGCCAAGCTCCAAGCTAGATGTTGTCACTCTGAGAGGTGTTATTAAGGATAGTCATAGAACTGAAAGATGTTACGGGGAACTACAGCCTGACAGCCTCACTCTGATCCTTGTGACAGAAATAGAACAAATCTTCCTGGAAAACATTTCAAAACATATTAAGCCCAGGAAGGTGATTGGGAGTAGTCATTGTGGATTTACAAAGGGTAAATCAAGGTTGACCAACCTGATAGTCTTCTACAATGAGATAGCTCAGTGAATGAGAAGAGAGCAGTGGATGTTGCTTATCTTGACTTTAGCAAGACTTTCAACATTGTCTCCCATGACATCCTTTTAGATAAAATGATGAAGTATAGGCTGGAGAAATGGACAGTAAGATGGACTGAAAGCTGGATGAACTGCCAGGCTGAAAAGATTGTCATCTGTAAGGCAAAGACCAGATATAGTCCAGTCACTAGTGGTGTAATCCAGGGATCAATAATAGGGTCAACATTATTTAACTGATGACCTGAATGATGGAGTAGTGTGCACCTTCATTGAGACTGCAGATGATACACAACTCAAGGGGTAGCTCGTACACCAGATGGTTTCACTACCATTTAGAAGCACCTAAACAGGTGCTTCTACAGGCAGACAGGAATATCATAAAGTTCAACAAGGCAAAATGCAAAAAAAAAAGGCAAAGTCCTGCCACCTGGGGACATAGAACCCAATGCATCAGTTCAGATTGCTGGCCAAGTGCCTGGAAAAGCATGAAAGGACCTGGAGATCTTTGTGGGCAACAAGTCAGACATGACTCACCAATGTGCCCTTGTGGCAAAGAACGTCAATGGTTTCCTGGGCTCCATTACAAAGAGCATTGCCAGAAGATTGAGAAGATCCTTCCTCTCTGCTCAGCACTGGTGAAGTCACATGTGGGATACTGGGTCAGTTCTGCACTCCCTAGTGCAAGAGAGAGAGAGACATAAGAGACCAAATTCACCGAAGAGTCACAAAAAAATGATTAAGGGACCAGAACATTTCTTCTATGAGGAGAGGCTGAGAGAGCTGGGAGTGATCAATCTGGAGAAAAGCGGGCTCAGTGAAGAATCTTATGGATGTCTATAAATACCTGATGAGGGCAACTGGGGCAATACCAGGCACTAAACGAAATACAAGAAATTCTGTGTAAACCTAAGAAATAACTTTATTTTATTATTACTATTTTTTAATATGATGGCAGCTGAATTCTATTGAGTCTTCAACTTTGGACACTGTCCTGAGCAACCTGCTGTAGTTGACCCTACTCTGAACAGGCTGGTTGGACTGGATGATTCCCAGAGACCCATTCCAACACTAACTATTCTGTGACATGCTGAATTGCTATGAAGCGGTCAAGGAGTCAAAGAACATGAAGTCTACTGCTATCTTCATTGTGCTATACCAGCTGAACCTTCAAAACAACTGTTATAAATACAGCACAAAACCCTGCCAGCTGCAGGGCACCAGCACTGAACATCTCTTCATTTGAAGGCAACATTGAATGTTTGGAAGAAGTAGCTTCCCTAGAAACATTCCTGGAGGAAGACAAGATGTGTCTGTACTAATAAGAGCGTCGGCAGGTGGCATGGAGGAACCCTTTGCACATCAGCATTGACCACACTGAAAGTATGCCACGGCTGCCCAGAGCACCTGGTACAGCTTTTCACTGCAATGTGGTTTGCAGCCTATAGCAGTTGGTCTATTCTTCTTCACCTATGCTAATCAGATTAGCAGGCATGTAATTAAATATCAGCTCCTATTAAGACATAGGACTGAAGACTCCTCTGCAGGCTTTGAAAGGATTAGGAGCTGCAAAGCTCTTTTTATAATATTGGTGGAAGGAAGTAAAATAATGACGTTCAGAGATTCAGAGTGCACAATATTGCACTGAATTACAAAAAGAAACCCAAACATATGGCATTAAAATGAAACCAAACCTGACACGAGGGAAAACAGTGAATTTTCTCTAGACCTCTCAAACTCAGCAGAAATACTCAGGACTCAACTAAGCATGTATGCAAAATACTCATTCTCACTGCATATGATGCCCTTCGGGGACGAACTGCATCATATGGGCAAGACAGGGAAAAAAGCACATACCACCTGTACTAGCATATGATGTTACTCTCCCATAAATGAGGGTGAAACTGGTAAGTTTGGTAGACAGCTGCTGTCGCTGGTGGCAATGGTACCTGTTGCTCTTGGCAGTAAAATATAATCAAAGTTTGATCAGTATTAAATACGATTGGAGAGAGAAAATGGAGGCAGCAAGTAGAAGCAGAAAATGAATTAGGATTCTTAATGAACTTCCTCTGAGTGAGCAGCTTTCACTTCATACGTCACACTTTAACGAGGTGTTTAAAATTTTATTTCTTTTTTTTTGCCAGTAATAGAAAAATTAAAACACACATTATTAATAAAGTAACTTACAGAGAGACTAAAGGCTTTCAAGAAGGAGAACCGAGATGTCAGAGGCTCTGCTATAGAAGCTGAGACACTATCTGCAGAGGTAAATATTTGCAACTCTTTTTAAACCTCTCGGAAATGTGTTTCTGGACATTTACAGCTATAGAGTAGCTGTAATAAAGGATTTACTGCTGGGACAGCAACTGCTAGAAGTGGTGAGCATATGAAACTAGGGATGAAGTTGTATTTGCCATTCAGAACTTGTTGCTCAGCACTCCCCAAAGGAAGCACACGCTATGTATGGATGTGGTTACTGTAATACCATTCATTAAAATAAATGGTTTTCTGTGGGATTCATCTGTCTAAAGATGATTACAGACCTCATTAAATCTAATTGCCCCACAAAGCACCTTGCTCTGCAACAAAGAAATGGAAAACAAAAAAAGTGAATCCTCCACTGTCAGGAAGACTGTAAGGAGATAGCAAAGTTGCACAAGTTGTTGTGTTCATGTTATGCATACGCATGAGGTTCAGAAGATACACGTGGTAACAGGTAAGTGTGAAGCCAGACAGTGAGCAGAGCTGAAGAGTAACCACTCTTGGTTTTCATAGATCCACAAAAAAACAGTCAAAAAAGAGATTTCACAAAGATCTATGGTGAGAAATTGTGAGGATCAGCTTAAGACTTGAGAGATGAGATTTTCTCTCCAGCCTTGTCACTAGCTTGACGACTATCTTTGGTATCAGCCCCACTTGACCCTGACTCAACCTCCAACCTAAGGAATAGGGAGGATCACGCTGATCTCCCCCTATGAAGAGTTTCAGGGTCTCTCTGGTCAAACAGGGTATTTCTTTTGTAGTGGCCACTTAAACTTCTGCTTTAGAAAGCCTTACTTTGGCACTTCCAGTACTTCTGCACTCACTGGAAGTGTTTATACACATGCTGAACTGCTTTCTCTATAAAGTCTGATAAGCAAATTCTGTTCTATACCACGGTTAGTTGGACAAGAAGATTGGCATTTCATTACTACTACCATCTATAGAGCAAAGGAAGAAGCTTGTCACTATTTGAGTGTACCCATGCTAAGATTTCTACCAGCATAACCATAAACATATCCTTCCTTGCTACAAAAGTTAGACCAACACGAAAACTCTGCTAGGACAAGCGCACTTCCATGGCTGTATAAGCCAAAGCAATTGAAATAATGGAATTTATGCTACCACACATCTGCTGGGTGCCAGGGTAATTCCTAGCCTTTGACATGCTAAGAAATATGGATTCAAATCCCCTTAAAGCCAATTTTACTTCTCAGTTCAGATGTATTAAGAGCATGAACACAACTGCAACCAGAAATTTGCAAAGCTGTGATCATTTAATAATCAGAAGACATAAAACAATATCCTTCTTTTCTTATGCTGTCAGAGTAGGGGTGAAGAGATATTAGTGTAGAAGAAATAAAATGCCTTTGTAGACTTCCTGGTGTAGGCACAGGGCCTTACAACAGTGTATACAAAGTTTAACTAGATCAAGGCCCCTCTTCTAATGGCCGTTATAAATAATTAGTGAACAAAAACAGGTAAGGGCAATTACCAACGGTCTTGAGAATGGCTATTTTAATACGGAACAGAGCATTGTTGAAGCAATTTAACGGCTTGCAAACAAACACAAAAAAAAAAAGAAGGATTTTAGCATCTATAGGTAGGCAAATGTATCAACACTACTGCTGTGTTTTCAGTCAGGCATGGCTTACACCATAGTCCTAATCTGCTCCACGGTGCTGCTTTTTCTGTCATGCTTTGCTACTCCTTCTTCCACAAAATTACATGTGCTTTAGCAGCTGGAGGAAGCAATGCCTGCCGACCACACTGATGACTTGTGCAGCCCTTTTGAGATTCCTTTCAACTGAAAGGCCCAGGAATTTTATTAATGACATTACTCGGAGGTAAAAGAACAAACAAGCTTCCCTCATCCTCATTGGAATCGCAAGTGAATCTCTGGATAAACACGTGAGTGCTGTAGATCAGATGAGAGACAAGAAAAGACATGCAAGAAAGGTCATGGTAGCCTGTTTTTTTCTTTCTAGTATGTCTTAACTTGAACATAGTTCCTGCAAGGAAAGGAGGTGAGAATAACAGATGCTAATATACTCTCCAAGTGATAATTTTCTCCTTGTGGCCAGCTCAGTGACGCACCATCATCGAAACAAAAAATCATGACCTTACCCAGTCACCCAGTCAATCTGCATCAGAACAATAACACGACTTTATTATTTACATTTTCTCATGTTGCATTTTCCAAAATGGACAACATAAAACAAAATATAATTGTTCCTAAGGTCTGACACATCTATCTATTTGAAAACTATCCTTTAAAAAACAAAATAAAAGCAGTAATGACAAGAACCATGATGGCAATTCATTGCCTCTGAGTCAATTTAAAGGCGGTCGATTGTTTTAGACCATGGCATTAAGAGAGGTTGTAAAAAAACAATAAATGCATTAAATTTAGCAGGCATGGAGCACTTCCTGCACCCCATACACATGCCAGGTACATTAATATCCAGTAGATAATACAAATTATTAACACATTACATACAATACATGAATAAATACATTAACACCAGTAGATTAATACAAATCTATGTCTCTCCACTAGGAGTTAAGTGCATGAATGTTACTGTTTCCTGCAGAAGAAGACACTGTGACCAACAGATAAAGCAAGGCTGGTCCTTCAGACCACAGTAGTACTTGCTGAGAAAGTCTGTTCCCTCTCTGCAACACACTTGCATGGGAAATGAGCTCTCAGTATTCCCTTTTGGAGAGAATGGAATGGGCTGGCACAGATCTGGGAGGAAAGGAAGCTTTTCTGTCAGTCGTGACTTGAGAGACGCAACTATGACATCAAAGTGGTAAAACAGGAAATCAGTTCAGCATATTGAACTTGATATTGAAAGGCTAAAAGGATGCATTACGTAACCTGAATGCAACCAAGTAGTAAAAATAAAGCTTGGCTTTGCTCTATCCAGGTCTTAACTCACCTATTCAGATCAGAACCATCTGGTGTTGAACAGACTTTCCTGTACTATGTACGTTGCATTCTTTCCCAAATAAGCTACATCCTCACAGACATGCTTTGTTGCTTGTCACATTTTTCAGTATACCTTACCAAAATCTACCCCTCTTTCTCTTCCAAAATATTGCATATTTGGGTGGGATAACAAGGGATAATACTCAGAGCTGCATGTGAGAGAGTTCAATTTAGTTGCACCTTAACAAGCTTCAAGACCTTTCAAATAGAGGTACAGCAGAGGATGCTCTCTTTTTCACATGTATTTCTCCTCTTCACACATATTTCTAGAAGAGGCATCTTGATGAATGCTTACCAACACTCAAACTTGAGAAACCCTATCCCAACGAGCACTGGAAGTGGCCAT